GAATTTTGACTTTAGTTACAACGCTTAGTGTTCCCCACTTTTGGGAAGCAGTCATTTTCATTCATGTTCAGATTTGCCTTACAATGGAAGATTGTTTGATCTTTTTTTTTTTTTTTTTTACATCTGCTTCGTATATGTTTTCTTTATTCTTTATTAATTACATTTTATTCACTTTGTATCCCCCCTGTGGTTCCCTCCCTCCTCCACCCTCTGCATGCATGCCCCTCCCCAAGTCCACTGATAAGGGAGGACTTCTTTTCCTTCCTTCAGATCCTAGTCAATTAGGTCTCATCAGGAGTGGCTGCATTGTCTTCTGTGGCCTGGTAATGCTCCTTCCCCCTCAGGGGGAGGTAATTAAAGAGCAGGCCAATCAGTTCATGTCAGAGACAGTCCCTGTTCCTATTACAATGGAACCCACTTGGATACTGGACTGCCATGGGCTACATCTGTGCAAGGGTCTTAGGTTATCTCCATGCATAGTCCTTGGTTGGAGTATGAGTCTCAGGAATGACCACTGTGCTCAGATTTTTTGGTTCTGTTGCTCTCCTTGTGGAGTTCCTGTCCTCTCCAGATCTTACTGTTTCCCACTTCTTTCCTAAGATTCCCTGAACTCTGCCCAAAGGTTGCACATAAGTCTCAGCATCTGCATTGCTAGTCTGTAGGGCAGAGCCTTTCAGAGGTCCTTTGTGTCAGGTTCCCGACTTGTTCCCTCTTTTCTCCTTCTGATGTCCATCCTCTTTGCCTTTCTGGATAGGAATTGAACATTTTAGCAAGAGTCCTCCTTCTTGATTAGTTTCTTTAGGTGTACAGATTTTAGTAGTTTATCTGATATTATATGTCTATATGGGTAAGTATATATCGTGTGCATCTTTCTGCTTCTGGGATAGCTCACTCAGGATGATCTATTCCAGATCCCACCATTTACCTGCAAATTTCATGATTTACTTGTTTTTTATTGCTGAGTAATATTCCATTGTGTAGATATACCACAATTTGTGCATCCATATCTCCACTGAGGGGCATCTGGGCTGTTTCCAGCTTCTGGCTATAACAAATAAGGCTGCTACAAACATGGTTGAGCAAATGTCCTTATTGTGTACTTGAGACTCTTTTGGGTATATGCCTAGGAGTGGTATAGCTGGATCTTGAGGAAGCACTATTCCTAGCTGTCTGAGAAAGCACCAGATTGCTTTCCAGAGTGGTTGTACAAGTTTACATTCCCACCAGCAGTGGAGGAGGGTTCCCCTTTCTCTACAACCTCTCCAGCATGTGTTGTCTCTTGAGTTTTTTATCTTAGCCATTCTGATGGGTGTAAGGTGAAATCTTAGGGTCGTTTTGATTTGCATTTCCCTGATGGCTAATGAGGTTGAACATTTCTTTAAGTGTCTCTGCCATTCGACATTCCTCTATTGAGAATTCCCTGTTTAGCTCTGTACTCCATTTTTTTAATTGGATTACTTGATTTTTTTGCTGTTTAACTTTTTTAGTTCTTTATATATCAGAAGATGGAAAGATCTCCCATGCTCATGGCTAGGCAGGATTAATACAGTAAAAATAGCCATCTTACCAAAAGCAATCTACAGATTCAATGCAATTCCCATCAAATTACCAACACAATCCTTTACAGACCTTGAAAGAAAAATTCTGACCTTCATATGGAACAACAAAAAAAAAACCCAGAATTGCTAAAACAATTCTCTACAGTAAAAGGTCTTTAGGAGGTATCTCCATCCCTGATCTCAAGCTGTACTATAGAGCAACAATACTAAAAAACTGCATGGTACTGGCATAGAAACAGACTGGTGGATCAATGGAATCGAATAGAAGACCCTGACATAAATCCACACACTTATGGACACCTGGTTTTTGACAAAGATGCCACAAGCATTCAATGGAAAAAGGACAACATGTTCAACAAATGGTGCTGGTCTAACTGGATGTCTACATGTAGAAAATTGCAAATAGATCCATACTTATCACCCTGCACAAAACTAAAGTCCAAGTTCATCAAAGACCTCAACATAAAACCAGACACATTAAATCGGTTAGAATAAAAAGTGGGGAAGAGCCTTGAACTCATTGGCACAGGAGACAACTTCCTGAACAGAATACCAACAGCACAGGCTCTAAGAGCAACAATCAATAAATGGGACCTTATGAAACTGAAAAGCTTCTGTAAAGCAAAGGACACTGTCGTCAGAACAAAACGACAGTCTACAGATTGGGAAGGGATCTTCACCAACCCTATATCTGACAGAGTACTCATATCTAGTATATATAAAGAATTGTTTGATCTTTTTTTAAAGTACTTTTATATTTTTTAAAATTTTATGTTTTACATACATGTGTGTCTATGTAACACTTGCATAAACGATGCCCATGGAGCCCAGAAGATGGTATTTGATCTGGAACTAGAGTGATAGATGATTATGAGCCACCATGTGGGTGCTTGGAATTGAACCCAGGTTCTTTGCAAGAGCAGCCAGTGCTCTTAACTTTTGAGCCATCCTTCCAGCCCTGAATTCAGGGGAAATTTTTAAATGTTTGTTATTATTTGGCTGTTTCATATATCAACATGATGAAATTTAGTTGTTTTCATGCCCCTTACTACCCTCTTGTTTCTTCTCCTTTCCCACTGAAACCTTTCTCGCCAAGCCTCCCTCCTTTTATGTCTGTGTGTTTATGTGTGTGTGTGTAACCCTCTGAGTTTAACTATATTTGCCTGTAAAAATGTGGCTGTGTGGGAGGTTATTGGATCACAACTTACCAGTGGCTACACCACTGAACAAAATGACATTCTTCCCTCCACCCCACAACTGTTGACTGCCAATGTTTTTGAAGGGAGGTGTTCATCCTCCTGAGCTTCTCCCACCTAGGTGATGGAAAGTTAATAGCTATTCTTGGTTGTCAGCTTTACTACATCTGGAGTGAATTAAAACCCACATGGCTGGGAACACCTGTGAGGGATCTTTTTTTCTTAATTAAATCATTAGAAGTGAGTAGACCCACTTCTAATCCAAATCTTTGTGGTGGAAAGATCCACCTTTAATCTGGGCTACACAAGCTGGCAGCCTATATATAAAGATCATGAGAGAAGGAAACTTGCTCTCTCTTTGCCTGCTTGCCCTGTTACTGTTTTGCTAGTAACTCCATTTCTTCACTGGCATTAGAGCCTAGAATTCTGGCATATAGTGAAGACCAGCTGAGACATCCAGCCTTGTGGACTGAACAACTGCTGCATTCTTGGACCTATCATTGGTAGACAGGCATTGTTGGACTAGTTGGACTACATTCCAATAAAGCCCTTTTCTATGTAGGGAGAGATTCATTCTCCAAGTTCTTTTCCTCTAGAGAACCCCAACTAATAAATACACTTGCACTTTCAGTAGATTTTATAAAATTAGAAAATCTACATGTAAATAAGAATAAAAGAAAAACACTTGCTAGAAAGGGAGATTAAAAACAAATCAGCTTTACTTGTATTGGTCAGCTCATAAGCAAACACTGCCCAGGTAAGGAAGAGGCCGATTCATGGAATCTATGACTTCACCTGTAAGCTTGGGCATGGCGTTCATCCATTTTGTTATCACACTTCCATTATCAAGGATAGGCCACATCCTTCTGAAGGAGTTGCCACCATCTTCACTGAAGGTTCACACAGAATTGAATGATCAAGAAAGAATCTTGCTGAGGGAACTTGTCACAGGTGTCACCTTAGTACCTATCTTATCACCAGAATCATCTCAGCACTTCAGTCACATTCAAATGCCATTAGGAGAAACATGCAACGTACACCTTGTTATTCAATATTATCTTGAAGCCAAGATTTTTTTTTTTTTTTTTTTTTTTTTTTGTCTAGTCATAGTTTAGGATTGGGCTTAAAGGACCATTCATGGATATAACCTAGAACCCCTCCTCAGATGAAGCCCATGGCAGTTCAGTATCCAAGTGGATTCCCTAGTAATGGGAACAGAGACTGTCTCTGACATGAGCTCAGTGGCTGGTTCTTTGACCACCGCCCCCCCTCGAGAGGAGAAACAGCCTTGCCAGGCCACAGAGGAGGACAATGCAGCCAGTCCTGATGAGACCTGATAGGTTAGGGTCAGATGGAAAGGAGGGAGCTCTTTCCCTATCAGTGGACTGGGGAGGGGAATTGGAAGAGATGAGGGAAAAAGGGAGGGTGAGATTGGAAGGAAAAGAGGGATACAAAGTGAATAAACTATAATTAATATAAAAATAAATAATGAAAGAATTGGGCTTAATTCTTTGTAAATGTCCACATGAAAAGCAAATAAAATACCTCCAAGAACAGTAACTGTGAGAAACAGTGGTGATGTGTACTGATAAACAGTGTATTCCCTCTTTCTTATGTGAGAAAGGGAATTGCTTTCATGCTGCATCAATGTAGAAGTTGCTTTTATCCTTCCAATCCTGTTTTCCAACATACTATATCATAAATAAGGATTTAGAAGGAAAATGGAAATGAGATTAGGATAGGAATTCGTTAATTTTTCTTGAGACTTCTGTACATGCAGCTAATGTGTTTTGATCAAATCCAGTATAGGTTATAAATGTCCAGTATTAAATCTTTATTTTATTATTTATCTTAACATGGATGGGTGTTTTACCCCCATGTGTATATGTGTACCATGTCCAGGCCTGGTGCCTACAGAGGCCAGGAGGAGAGCATTGGATCCACTACAACTGCAGTTACAGATGCTCTAAAGTTGCCATGTGCTGGGAGTCAAATCCACTCTTCACTTCTGAGCCATGTGCTAGCCTCCAGGATAGCACAGAGTGTTTCTTTTTAGAAGGGAGTTAACATTGCCGTGAATATCAACATACCGAGTCACCACATCAGTTAGATTAGAACCTACAGACAGAGTTCTTGGAAACAGGAGCACTTAGTGCTAGGAGGTTTAAAATAGATGTCATATGATGCCAATTATAACTCAGTAAAAATTTGCAGCGGTAGGAACCTAAGCTGAGGAGAAGCCAAAATGGAAGATGGTCCGGTTTTCTATGGCTTTAAAAACATTTTTCTTACAGTGTTTGCAACATTTTTTTTCTTCAAGCTTTTAATTAAAGTTTTCTTGGCTCTCCTAACCCATTTTTATATCGTCAAAGGAAACAGAAAAGAGGCAGCTAGGATAGCAGAAGAGATCTATGGTGGACTGTCAGGTAAAAAGACTTGAATTTATTCCCAGCACCTCAAAAGTTCCTCCTTGAAAATTCATATGAATAGTGTTTCTAGAAGGTAAGATTTCCTTGTACTTTTGTGCTGAATGGGTAGTTTGAAAATGTACCTTTCACTTAACATAGAAAATGATGTTTGCTGCACCAATTTGTGAAGGATCTTCGGCATTATTTTCTTGGAAGTGGGTAGTTGTAGTCACTATTATTGTTGAAGAAGTAAAACAGAATAGCAGGTTTTAGAGGCTATTTTGAGAGACTTTCTACTAACCAAAAGAGTTCTTATTAGCATTATTTTCTTCAACACTTTCAGTACAACTAACCAGAAAGAGCATTATAGGAAGACTTCCTTGGGAAATTCAATGATCAATTAATTTGATTGAAAAGCAGTGTGGCATCCTGTATTATACGTATCATGGTGTCCTTTGCAAATGGAATTGATTGACTATCAGAGAAAATCCCTCACTAAACCCATTTCTATGCCAGTGGCACCACAGAAAGCACCCAAAACAAAGGTTGTTACCACAATATGAAACTGCTAAGACTTTGGTAAAACATAAAACATCTGAAAGTCTCATACTCTGTAGAGGTCAGTCTAGATCTCTTTCAAGAAACAACTCTCCTTAATTGTAAGGAGATACTGCAATAACAACTGAAGCAGTTATGCTCACACTGCTAGGACTGCCCCTTCATGGAGGAGGAAGACGTCCCTGAGGAAGAGGAGGATTTATTCATAAAACTGTTGAGAGTTGCCTGATGGGTTTTCAGTGTGCACAGGGGTTCCTGGGTTGCATCATTCTTTAGTTGGTTGGTGTCTGTTTCAATTTGCATCCAAGTGTCTCTTTCAAAATAGCCATACTTTGTGATTTCAGTGTCCTAGACCGCTTGAAAAAAGGCTAGACATCAGTGTCTTAAATAAAGAAACAAGAGCTCTAAAGAGGGAGCATCAGAATGCTTCAGCTAGCTGGTAACAAAGGAGTCCGAAGGCCTGGACTGTGGAAAGAGATTTCTTTTGGGGATTATATTTGTCACACATTTCAGGGAGGTATGTAATTTTGGTGTGAAAAGATTAATGCTTCTTTTAGTTTCAAATTAATCATGGCCTCAAAAGGTATTTTTGACTTAATAGTTTGGGCAGGGACTTTCTGGCATTTGATGTTCTGTTAGGTACAGAAACATCTTTGTGCTTTGAATTAGGTAAAATCTAACAGGGATAGATGCTGACAGAGTGTGTAAAAGTTTTCCTCTAGTTGTTCCTGTGCATGGCTCCTGTCTTTGTGGTCCTTAGTGAAGTATACTTCTAAGGGTGTTAGAGTACTCAGAACCTGTTCAAGCATGCTTTGGATTTTAAATCTCTGTAAAAGACTTATTCAGTCTAGGCCATCCATCTTGTTCAAGCTCCTGGACAGTGCCCATTTTCATATACTGTTAAAAATGGGTGGTAGTGAGACTAACAGATGTAAGCCTAGTTTATTTCATATAAATGTAAGTGTATTTGTGTGTGTGTATATATATATATATATATATATATATATATATATATATATATATATATTTGTGTGTGTGTCCTTATATCTCTCACATGTATGATAGTATATTCAGATTTGATAAGTCTTTCTATAATAAACTGGCACTAACATGCCCAAAATAGTAGGGCTTTATTTTCCATGATTCTAAACTGTTCTTTTTACATTGTTTATAATTACACATGTAAAGCAACAGCAAGATTTTGTGAGCCAAGTGTAGTGGTGCATGCTCTCAATTGCAGCACTTGGGAGGCTGAGGCAGGTGGATTTCTGTGAGTTGGAGGCCAGCATGGTCTATATACCAAGCTCAAGGATAACCATGGCTACGTAGTGAGACACTGCCTCAAAACAAAACAAGACAAGACAGAAACATAAGATTTCGTGATAGTGTTATTCTCAAACCAAAAATCATCTTTGCAGTTCATTTGTCAGACAAAGGTTTGTTGGGAAAATATATGATGGTTACTCAGTAAGTTAGTGAACTGACTTAGAAAGTCTCTCATCTCAAGGCAAAATTGTTCTTCTCTTCTAGTATGTAAACATTTGAACCAAATGAAAACACAAATAAAAAGGACAAATTACTTAACATGATTTCTGGCCATGTTTGCTGCCAAAGGTATAGACATAAAATTGGGAGGGGGGTTTAGAAGTTGGGACATTTTACCGTTGCAGATATGAGCTTGTAGTAGAATCTTCTCTCAAAAAGGAAAAATGAAACAACTTTTAAGGGAAGGCTAAAACATTAGTTCATTTTCCAAGTGCTACGTTCAAAGTCATTTGTTTCTGTTTCAAAGGACTTTTACTGGACAGCCATCTGACTCCTGTCCATTCCACTTCAGTATTCTCTTTTGTTCCTTTTTGTTGTTGTTGTTCCAGAACCTATCTAGCCTTTTACCTTAATTATTTTCTTCCTTATTTCTTTAAATCTCAGCCTAACTGACCTCTGCTCAGTTAATATCAAAGGTTCCTGTTGACTGTTTCTAAGTAGGAACAAACAGTTCCTAGCAGATGTTCTGACTTTCAGCTTCACCTGCAGCTCACTTCTTCTGCCCCTAATGGGTTCAAAGGAGACTTATTAACACAGATCACTGACTAAAGTTCATCTTCTGATCAGAAGATGAAGTTCTAATGAATATTTCATTAACTTCATTATGTTACAACATTTTAGGTATTTAAGAATTTTTATTATAATGCTTTCTTCCCAATGTACTCCATTTTCTTAAAATCTTATTAATTCTAAGTTTTTATCGTTATTTTGATTCAGAAATGAGATCTATGACTTTTGTTCCCTTTGATAAATGCCACAGATGTTGCTCTCTATGATTTCAAAACTTGAACAAAGATTGTATACCGTGGGGACCAAAGACTGTAAAAAAAGCAGTCTTCTAGAATTATCTCACATTCTTGTCAAAATTTGACAAGGTAACATCCTTGAAAAAAATGTAAAAGAATTATTGGCTCTTATTTTGAATTCTTGGAACTTCAACATATTCAATCCGAATAGATTTGTTAGTAAAGAAATAACTTGGGGGGGGGGAGTTGTCATGAAATTTATTCAAAGAACCTGAGCACCAGAGATACAAATCACAGTTTGAAAGATGTGAAGGAAGATGTGAAAAAGTACTTAAGTGTTTTCTGTACACCTCATCAGGACTGAACATGTTTGTAAACTATCTTTATAATGTATTTGCAGCCCTGTGACCCAGGCAGGGTGCCAAGGAAGTAAAAATAGAGTGCCCTCAAAGAGAGCGATTGAGTCCTATTTAAGTATTCATGCACTTGGTAAGCTTGGCTACATATTTACTGAAAACAATGGAAAAATCCTGAATCTGCCAGAACCTTTAATCCTTAATTTCTTTCAATTTGCTCCTATTTGCAAACTGAGAGCCATATGAGATACTGTGTTGGGAACAAGAATAAAAATAAGGGGACCTTCATTGTGACAGTTTCAGGAGCATAGCCATGTAAAAACCCTTCCAGGTCTTTTGTAGGGGGCAGTCAGCAACAGTGGAATAGGAAAAGTTAGTTCCTGCAATGTGATTTTCTTTCCAGTTGGGAATACAGCAAATTTATTGTACTTTTTTTTCACAGGGTCTCACTATGAAGCTCTGACTAGCCTGGAACTTATTATGTAGACCAGGCTGGTGTCAAACTCAGAGATCTCTGCCTCCTGAGTGTTGGGATAACAGGTGTCTACCACAATGCCATTTTCTTTTCCTGAGACAGCTGAGACTGTCTTCAAACCCTCTATGTAGCCAAAGATGACCTTGAACTTCTGATCCTTAGGCTTCCTTCTCTGGCATAAGGCATGTTCCACCTCTCTTGTTTATACAGTGCCAGAAAGCAAACTCAGGGCTTCCTGCATGCTAGGTCAGCACTTTTCCAACTTAGCTTCTTATTCTCCCAGCACCTATTTCACTCTCTTAGCAGAGATAACATGATGCCAAAAGTGTCCAATACAAGTGAATGTAGCACCAAGATAGGCAGAATTTAGAAACCTATAGTTCTCAAAACCAGGGCAAAGTCTTTTCTGAAGCCCTTACTTACTCCAGGTTTTGGGATTTTGTTTTTCTAATGCTTACTAGCCAGGAGACAGCAATGTGGTTGTCATTCATTTCAGGGTGTTCTAATGCATATAGCAACACTCCCCCTCCCCATCTCTCATAGAGGCCATGAGGCTTTAGGCAAGGGACAGAGAATGGGTGCTCGAAATAGGAGGTAAGAACCCACTTAAGCAAATGCCTAAGTGAATAAGTCCTATACAACCTGGGGGTGAGACACGGAGAAGGAGCTGCAAAACAGAAATCAAGTGAGGAAGAAACCCAAGGCAATGCTCTTCCCTCTTTCTTTGTAAAGTGGCAGATGGCACAGGTTACCTCAGAATCATGGGTGAGAGTTGGGGGCATGCTAGGATACCGCATTGATGAGGAGATTCTAGAAGATGTAGGCAACTGTCAATGGGTAAGTAAGCAGCTGAGGAGCAGACCTGATGGTGCAAGATTCACATGACCAGAGAAAATCTGCAGCATTTAATGATAGAGGTCATTCCACTGAAAGCACCCTTCCCCAAGAAAGTCCAAAATGAGGGACTTCTGTCAGAGACTGTGGCATCAGAACCATCTCCTGGGAGGAGATAATATCCAGCTCTTACAGTTTGAATGTTCGTGTTCCCAAGTTTTTGTCCCTTCCTTTCTATAAATTGTAAGATGGCTACAGGGAAAGTTTAAAAAAAATTCTGGAGGGTTGATTGGTTTGATTGTTTCCTTTCACCAGTTTGGTCAAATGTACTGAATCTAATCTTTTCTGTTTTCAGGTTTTTTTTTGTTGTTGTTTGTTTGTTTGTTTTGTTTTTTTTTTTGTTTTTTTTCAGACAGGGTTTCTCTGTGTAGCCTTAGCTTTCTTGGACTGGCTTTGTAGAGCATGTCGGCCTCAAACTCACAGAGATCCACCTGCTTCTGCCTACCAGAGTTCTGGAACTACAGGCATGTGCCACTGAGCCTGGCAGCCAAATCCAATGTTTTAAAAGTCAATTCTGGTGTCCTAATTTTCATTTCACCAGTGTGGTGGGTAGGAGTACTATGAATGCTAGCTCATCCTGTGACATGCTGACGCCCAGTGAGTGGGACTGGCTGCCTCTTCCAGGTAACTGGGACTCATTTTCCCTGTCCCCCTGCTTCTTTTCATCCTCAAAGCACCAGAGAAACTGGCACCTGGAATAGAATGCTGTCCTTGGGTATCTAGCTGCTTGATGGAGCAGAGAGCTATGCTCTCTGCTGGGAGTGTGGAGGGATGCGTGGTGGTACAAGTTTAGAAGGGGGTGGAGTCTCTTTAAAGATCTGACTACAGAGAAGTATACAAGGGTTTAGTAAATACAAGGAGGGCCAATACTCTTGCCTGAGAGACCAGCCTAGGTATGGCTCCTACCATGCCCAGTAACCATCAGCTCCCACCTCTCCTCAGTTTGCATTTGACTCCTAACACCTTCTTTCCTTGACAGAAACAGAACCCTACAGTGCAGGCATCTTTGTTTAGGGCTGCTTTCACTCAGCATTGGGTTTGTGTGGATTATCCAGATACCACCTAGGGGTTGGGTCTAATGGGACTGATAAATAATGGAAAGTTACTAGAAAGTCTGGAATTGGCTAAAGGATGCGGTTAAGTCTCTTGTTTTTCACAGGGAGGGAGTTCAGAGCCTACACAGAGGCAAGTTTGAAGAATTACAAAATCAGATCATCTTGATATCCTAAACCAGTTCTTTTAGGAGTGAGTGGCTGCCTAAATCTTCTCTTTATGTTTGAATAGGTTACCTCTACAGGTCAAGTCTCCCTTACATGAAATTCTTGGAGCTAGAAGTTTTAGATTTTAGGTTTTTTTTTTTTTTTCCTTCCAGAGTTCAGAATATTTGATATCTTGAGAGAGGGAACCATAGCTTAAATACCAAATTCATTCATGAAATTTCATGAAACATTTAAAATAATTTAGGGGCATGAATCTGAGTTTCATGAGATGGAATAGTCTATGTGTGACAGTGTTGTATCAGTACTCGGAAAGTTTTAGATTTTGAAGTATTCCAGCTTTTGATCTTCAGAGTAAAAACACTTAACCTGTAGTTCTTCAGGCACCCGGGTCTAGCCAACTTATTGTTAGAAGAACAGAAGGCCAAAGCCACACTGAAGATGTGCTGCTTCCATTGCTCAGGCTGCTGAGCTGCTAATGTAGGTAAAGCCCATCCTGAAACCCCCAGCGCCTGTATTCACTTCCAAACGTGTCCAAAGCACACATGCCAAGGACTTTGATGAAGGTGTATGAAAGGGAGACTAAAGATGATATGCAAGCAGCCATACTTGGTGGCACATTCCTATAATCCCAGCATCCAGGGAGGCAGAGACAGGCTGATTTCAAAGAGTTTGAGGCCAGCCTGGTCTACAAGTGAATCCAGGACTGAAAGACCCTGTCTCAAAAAACCAAAAAATGAACAAACAAAAATGAAAAAAAAAAAAAGATATGGAAAGAGATGTTCAAGGAGGTTTAGAAATACTCTGTCTACCAGCCTGGCTTGTCCTCTAAATTAACCATTTCATCAGTAGAATAGTATTTATATTCTGACATGGTATGAGATGCTACAGTATTCAGTACATGAAAACATGGACACAGAAAAGAATGCTAAATGAGCCATGTCTCGGAATTCACTTTACATTGTCATGGTGGCTACCAAGCAAGGTCCACATGATATAAATTGTATGTAAAACAAATAAAAAAAAAACTCTTGGTTAATTTGACTGAAAAGTCCAATTCTCCAGTTTATGTCCATTATTACCATTTGTCTTCTGTTTTGCTGGTATGGAGTGCTGTGGGCTACACTTTGCTCATGGGTAAATTTGTTTGAATGTGTTAGTTTGGGAGTCCTTAAGAACCAATGCAATGCAAATTCACCCTACACACTTCTCCCCAACTTGGGTGGTCCTCCCACACCTTTATTCTTACAAAGGTCCCATTTTTCTTCAAAAATAGTTCATCTCCATTTTGGTTATTCCTTGACAATCACTAGAGGGAGAAAAGAGAGTGGTACAGTGAGAAACAATTCCCCTTTAAGTAAACTGTCACACTCAACAGTTTTGCACCAACTCAGAAATAAATGGAGATATATAAATACAGTATGTTTGTTCATATTAAATGCTTTTGTGTTTTTTCATTATTATAAAAGCATTTCACAATCATAGCAGGAGTATGAGATGACAAAACTTTTACCTCTATTTCTCTTGGTTAAAAATTATTTTCTGGAACTAATTTTAACAGAAGAACAACAAGATAAGTATGAAGAATTCCCACTCCTCTGCCAAAGTCCTGCATTCATATTTAGCTAACTGGTTTAATAATATCTTTTCAATCAAAGGAGTCCCACTCAAGATCAAAGAAAGCTTTGAGCTATATTTTATCCTTCCATTCTTCCTTTATACACACACACATATGTAAGTATATATAAAAACAAAGGAAAAAACTCCAAAACAACAACAATTATATATATATATATATATATATATATATATATATATATATATATATGTATGTATATATATGTATGTATGTATATATGTGTCTGTGTGTGTGTGTGTATAAATACACACACATAGATGTGTAGCTATATACACACACACATATATGCATATCTATGTTGTTTTGTTTTTTCCTTTGTTTTTTCAAGACAGGGTTGCTTTGTATAGCTGTGGCTGTCCTGGGACTCACTTTATAGATGAGGCTGGCCTCGAACTCATAGAGATCTGCCTGACTTTCCCTCCCAGAGTTTGGAATTAACGGTGTGTAGTGTCATTGCCTATGGTTTGTGAGTTTTTAATTGATCATTTTATAAGAACTGGAGGACTTTTGGTAAGGTCATTAAGATATTGCTTGCTGGTTAGACTTCCCTGGCTCCATCTTGAACACAGTATCCTATGTCTACATATTTTGAAAATCACATTATCAATTACCAGTTGTTCCAGTATCACTCCAACCATGTACAGCACATTTTTATACCAATTGCTCCAGTATCACTCCAACCCACTGTCACTCCAACCATGTACAGTACATTGTAACAGTTCTTATTTTTGTAACCAAAGGCATAGAGAAGATGCCTTGGGCTTTAATGTTGATAGGAGGCTTATTGAAATGCTCACAGCTTCCAGTCTCATCCACTGGAAAAGAGCAATTTCCCTGAGACTTGTAGTATTCCAAATTTATATATTTCCATTTCTGGTGGGATTTTTTTTTTTTTTTTACCAAGTTTGTGGACAGGGAAGCCTGAGCTCTGTTCACCACTGTGATCACTTAGAAGACATTGATCAGAAGGACCCTTTGCATTAAAGAAAGCTAAAGTGTATATTACATTCTATTCAGTATGGAAAAAGAATAGCCACACTTCACACACACACACACACACACACACGCATACACACATAAATTGAAAACTGGAGCAGGTCTGCTTCCAAAACAAATGATTGTTCTTTAGCATCTTTCATATATAGTTACTTCTCAAAAGCCCATTAAAGCTCGTTAGTCTTAGTGGCAGAGAGACAATTATGGGGGAAAAACACACTCATAAAACAGTTTGGAGGCTGATGCTTAGAGAGCTTCCCTGTAATTTCTACTTATTAATCGATCAAAAATGGCCTTGAGCACCTGACTCTGGATGTAGTTGATTGGCCTTCTGAGAGCTCTGCCAAATGGTAGAGTGCTATATCTCTGGCTTACAGATAACAACATTGAGGTTCAAATGCTTCTCGCACAGAGTAGTCCAAGTAGTATTTGAGCCCAGACAGATTGGCCCTATCGGCCCATGTACACATCTTTCTAGGTAACTTTTGGGGATTATACCATCTGAAAGGGACATTTTACATTAAAATATGTAGATATCATTATCAAAAGAATCAGAGAAAATTACCCTAGCAATTTAACATTCTCTCTCTCTCTCTCCCTAAAACTCAGGGCTTTGCACATGCTAGATAATTGCTCTTCTACTGAGCCATATTTCAGCCCTCTTTTCTCATAATTCCTCAGGTTTACTTTGTAGTACACAGGCTTTGAATTTGGGGGTATGAAAGGAGGTGAGATGAAATTATGGGGAAAAAAAACTAACTGGTCTTGACCTTAGAGTTATCAGGGCCAAGTCCTTGGCTTTGTTTTTTTGGAAAAACAAAAGAATATTTTTACTGTTAAAACTGCCCATGGGAAGGCAGCATGAACGACTGTGCGCAGCTACTGGTACCCTACAAGTCCTGATGCATGGTACTGGTTAGATTTTTTTTTCTCTTCCCTAAAGCTCTGCAGTGGGTGGGAAGCATGAACAACTGCAGGAAGAAGTCTTCTGACCTTGACCAGGAGCTTGATTTGTGTTTCAGACTGCTGGGCTGATCGATCCCCACTCCATGAGGCCGCTGCTCAGGGGCGATTACTGGCTCTTAAAACTTTAATTGCACAAGTAAGTAAGTCAAAGATTCTGTCCTCTGTGCTGTTGTGCTAATCTAGAATGAGTCTGTGTTAACTTTGGCCGTAACTGAGCTTAGGTCCCAGCACTGCCAATTTAGGAATCTCCATCTTGCCCCCCCCCCCCCCGTGTGTTCCTCTTGTGTCTGCTTTCTCTAGGAGCTGCTTCATATTCTGCCCAGTTCCCCACCTTTCCATTTGGGATCCTCCCCTCCCTGACAGGAAGTTTCTCTCTAAGGGACAATGAAGGGGATTCTCAAATTTATGTTATGCTAACTCACCCTATTGGAGCTCGCCAGCAGAGACAGTTTCTGAGTGGGGAGTGGGGATTGAAATAATTAAAGCAAGTCACACTACACAGGGGATCAGCTTGAGAGGGCTGTCAATAAGACTGCATCACAAGTTTATTCCACAATTCCTTTTTGTAGGCAAAGCAAAAACAAGTCACAACAACACCAGGGAGAAGTTCCTTTAACTGCCAATCTTGTTTTCTAAAACTACTTTCCTGTAGCAGATATGGTCCAAGGTCACACAAAAAAGTTTTAAGGAACTTAGCTAAACATCCTCTTTTCTCTGTCTCAAGGTGAAGGCCAGGGTGAAAACATGTATTTCACTGAATAACAAAGCAGCTTGACAAACAAGCAACTCTCTATAGATCTCCATTTTTTATATTTTAAAAGACCATATCTTAAGAGCTATGGATCAGAAGATTGTGCCTGTCTTAGCTTGTCTCTCTTGAAATATATATTCTTACCCATCATTGATACATGAATTTCATCATTCATGCCCTGTCTTAGGTTGGATATTCCTCAGAGAGATTTTACCCACATTTGACTACTAACCTCCACTAGGGTAAATGCTGGAGTTTAATCTTATGCAGATCAGCTTTAACACTCCACAAGGCCTTGATAAAGGTTATAATTATCTCTGGCAGGAGACAAGCTCCTGATAAGAGTAGCAAGCCAAGTCCTATAACATTCCATAAAAGTGACATAAAAAGATTCCTATGAGGGTCATAATACCTGTAATTATTAATCCAACCATTCTTTTAGGTCTGCTTCTAGCATTTGTAATCCTTTATCAGAATACCAAGCCTGAGAAACATTCAGAGTAATCACAATAAAAGAAGGCATTTCTTGTCCATTTGAAAGCTTTGAAATACAGTTTGTTAGTTTACATTGATAGCAAGAAACATTAAACTTTTAATCTTGCATAAATATGTTAATATTTCCAAACAACAAAGCATAAGGAGGATTTACACAGGCAGTTACAGGGCCTCCCGAGAGTTTCTGCAGCAAGCTTCCAAATATAGGCCTGCTGAAAACTAGAATTTGACCAAAGTCACATAGTCAGTCCTCTTTCCCATTCTTCCCAATTTTGTTGAGAATTATCCTGACTACCAGACCAATCAAGTATGTATCTGTCTGTTCCAGTCACATTATATCTAAAAAGTTTCTATGCACAACATCTCCCATGAGCAGAATGTAACAAAAGTGAGTCAGGAGCATGAGCCCAATATAGCTCTCCATTCACCATCAGGACAGAATTCATTATTGTCAGCAGCAGAAACATCCTCCTTTCAGGAAACATCTCCTGCAACTCACACCAAACTTTCTGGGATCCATCGGGCTCCTTCATCCTCCTGCGATAAAACACAAACATGCCCTCTTCCCCAAATTAATACAGGGTCAGGGCCCTGCCATATTCCAGTAATGGGATCTTTCCATTTCACTTGGGTATAATTATTTTTGGTATTAGGTTGCTGCAATCAATCAGCTGCAGAACCTCCTTGTAGATCCACATTCAAAAAAATTAAAATAAAGAGAGCATGATCAAGATAATTCTGTGGTGTTTGGGGATATAACTCCCTCCTTTTTATTTTTATTTTTTTGCAATTGTTTCTTAAGAGATCTATGGGCACGTTCAACAATTCCTTGGCCTTGAGGATTATATGGAATAGCTGTTTTTTGACTTACATTCATTTCAGCACAAAAACTTTGAAAAGCTTAACTCGTATATTCCGAACCATTATCAGTCTTTATAATGGAAGTTATACCAATTGTAGCAAAACATTTTAAGCAATGACTTATAACATGTTTGGTGGCTTCTCCTGTTAAGGGAATTGCCATGATAAATCCTGAAAAAGTATCAAATTTTACATGAACATATTTTAGTTTTCTAAATTCTGGGATACGAGTTACATCCCTAGGTTTTAAGTTTAAGTTAACTTTATGCTACAGATTTTAAACAAACACAATAACACAATGTCCAATAATCTATAACCAAGACATATAGAACAAGTGAACCTATACATTCAAAACAGACAGACAAAACACCTTTCTGTTTGTTGAATTCAATTTTTTATAACCACAGAGGCTTTGTAGCAGAATTAACTATTAGTTTTTTTTACTGGAAAAACTGAGAAGCTGCCTTTTTTTTTTTTTTTTTTTTTTTTTTGCTAGAGTGATTTTAGTTGTAGCTTGACACTGCTCAGCAAATTTGGACTGCCATAATAAATGATCTCCTGATAAACATGGTCTTGCTAATTTCTTCCAGTACCCTGGGCAAAGGGCCTCAGTAAACAAGGACTCTAACAGAACTTGAGTAAAAGGTGCTATAGGACAATATTGAGTACATGCAATTTTCAATTCTTTTAATTGTTTAAAAGGTATAGAAGCATGGATTCTCACCATATTACCCTGTCCATCAGGTTGCTCTATAACTGGAAAACCATAAAACTCAGTTATAGCTTCTCTTTGCTGCCTGGCTTGTTGTAAAGAAACTTGTAAAGGGGAAACAGTTGCTAACACAGTGGACAAAAGGCCCACTCTTCTTTTGAGCTACAGTAACTGCCGCCATCCCAGGAGGAGGGTCCAAGCCAGCAATCAATGTTGGAGTGGGGGATTGAGCCTTGTTTTCCCTAGTCGTTAATTCTCCAATTTTTCTGTTTATTTCCTCCAAGCCCAATTCCAACTTTATTTCTTTTTGCCAAGGCTCAAGTTTTTTTTTTTTTTTAAACATTCATTGCCTGATTAGGAGGATATCTCTCAGAATCCTCCAGCTCTGCAACCTCATCAGGATTTTAGTCATCCTCAAAGACTTCTTCTAACAAGGAATTATTGTCATCAGGAGAGACATAGAGTTCTTCCGCAGTAGCCAATGGTTAGTCTTATTTTGTCCTGAAGCCTGTTTGTCTTTCCTCTTTCTCTCTAACTCTGAAAGTTTCACTTTCCTTGTCTCATGCCACAGATACAGACTGTCTCTAATTAAAGACCATACAAAAAACATGACATCACTGTCTTGTACCATTTTTACTCTCCAGTTTTACTCACTGTGCCTCCTTCTCTTTAGTTTATGATCCAAGTTCACCAACACCATGGTGTCTTTCACTGCTTCCCTGTATCTCAGGTCACTGTCCCGGCAGAGTTGAACAGTTCCTGAGTGGGGAGTGAGGACTGAAATAATTAAAGCAAGTCACACTATACACAGGATCAGCTCAAGAGGGCTGTCTGTAAGACTGCAGCCATGAGTTTATTCCACAATTCCTTTTTATAAGCAAAGCAAAAACAAGTCACATCAATACAATAAAGAAACTTGTGGAACTTCTAAACTTGTTTTCTAAAACTACTTCCCAAGTAGCAGATATGGTCCAAGGTCACACAAACCAGTTTTAAGGAACTTGGCTAAACATCCTCTTTTCTCTCTCTCAAGGTGAAGACCAGGGTGAAAACATGTTTTTCACTGAATAACAAAGCAGCTTGACAATCAAGCAGATCTCCAAACACCTCATTCTTCCAGTGTGCATTAGTGACATCAGTTCTTGAGATTGCATCAGTATGCTATTGGTGTGCTATGAATCACCTCAAAACATGGTGACTCCAATCAACAACAAACACTTGGATTCTTGAAGTTCTAAGGGCTCGGGTACAGCTTCCAGCCCGTTAAGTGGCAGCTAGGTCATGCCATGACTCATGGTGGAGACAGGGGAGAACTCTTTTCATGGGAAAGCACTTGGGCTTCCCCACAGGGTGGTGTTAAGAGATAGTAGCTGACTTTTTCCAGAGAAGGTTCCTAAGAAGGAAGTCACATTAAATAATCTTTATTTTAATTTTATGTGTATAAGTATTTTGCCTGCCTGTATGGCCTGTGGACCATATGCATGCAGTGCCCTCAGAATTCAGAAGAGGGCATCAGATCCTTTGGGATTGGAGTTACAGTCAGTTGAGTGTTGCCATGTGGGTGCTGGGAACTGAATCCTGGGTTCTCTGGAAGAAATGCCAGTGCTCTTCATTGCACGGCCAACTCTCCAGTGCCTTTGCCATTTTTGTTTTTGTTTTTTTTCTTTTGAGCTTAATCTTTGAGCCTAACCATATACTTCTTCCTACCATATACTGCATTCATTTGATGTAAGTCTGTAAGTGCTTGCATTCAAGAAGAAAACATTATCCCTGGGAGGCAGTTTTAGGAACTGGACATCACTGGGTATCATCTGAGAGGCCACCCCATGCAACAATGAATATTTCAAAACTAGGCTCTCAAATAGTTTAATAATCAGATAAATCTTAGGCCTTAGGGAAGATTTAGTAAAGTCTTCACTATTAAAAATATGTATCGGTGACTGTATCTCTTGCATGTTGAACAAACATCTGAGTAAAGATCATGAAATAAGTGAAAGTATACCCTCCATTTGCTTTATTTGTTTTGGACTCTACATGTGAACAGAGGAACTGAGTCACTGTACTTTCTTTCCCATGTCCTTTCTATCATCTAACCACATTTTAAAATCTCTTCCTCCTTTCAATTTAAACAGTTGAGATAGTGATATTTTCTGTGTGTTCCCCTCTTTTTAAATGATTTATTATTTTTGTTTGGTTTTGCATTGTTGCTTTAAATTTCTTTTTTCAAAATATCTGTTTATGTCTGTATATTTAGGGGTGAAGGGGCATGCTAAGGTGATCATTTAGCAGACAGGTTTATGGGAGTGGTTCACTTCTCCTACTATTCGGGTAGTGGGGATCAACTCAGGTTAGCAGACTTGATGGCAATTACCTTTAACTGCTGAGCAGTCTCACTGGACCCTTGTTTTTGAGACAGAGTGTCATGTATCCCAGCTGTAAGCCCCTCCTTTCTCCCCTCCTAGTCCCTCCCTCCCTCCCTCTTCTCCAACCATGCTCCTCCCCCAGTTTTAAAAGTATCATCATCATTTGATCTCCAGTACTTAAAAATATTATAAAAATGCAAATAGAGGAAAAATGAAAACAGAACTATTAGCAATGATAAACGTTGTATCTCATCTTGTCACTATTTATTTTATTTTTCCCTTGAGCTGTGTTTCTGCTGGAACCCAGGGCCTCCCACATGCTTGGCAGTTCTTTACCATTACAAATTTTTGTTGTCCATAATTGAACCATTTTATTTCAATAAGAGCAGAAAATATTATATGCCCAGTAACAACACTGTGATTCATAATATACAATAGTCTCAGATCTGAGCTGAGATGTTTCAGGCAATATTCCACAGCACGACAGGGTAGAGCCTGTTGCAATGTGAAGTGTTCATGTGCGTGTTCAGAAGTGAGGCTGAAGTGAAAGTTCATGGTGCAACATGGGTGAACGCTGCAAGGAATATCTCTGATCCAGTATACATTTGATTCCAAAAAGATTTTTGTGGCCCTTACACATCCAGAAATGTTTACTATTGTCAGATTGTTCACAACCTCCTCTTCCTTGTGACACTCCCCACAGTTTAAGGAACTTTCTTTCTTTTTTTTTTCTTTCTTTCTTTTATTAGTTACAGTTTATTCACTTTGTATCTCAGCGGTAGCCCCCTCCCCCATCCCCTCCCAATCCCACCCTTCCTCCTTCTTCTCCTATGCCCCTCCCTCAGTCCAGTGATAGGAAAGGTCCTTCTCCCCTTCCATTTGACCTTAGCCTATCAGGTCTCATCAGGACTGGCTTCTTTGTCTTCCTCTGTGGACTGGTAAGGCTGCTCCCCCCTCAGGTGGAGGGGATCAAAGACCCAGCCACTGAGTTCATGTCAGAGATAGTCCCTGTTCCCATTACTAGAGAACCCTCTTTGATCATAAGCTGCCTTGGGCTACATCTATGCAGGGGTTCTAAGTTATCTCCATACATGGACCTTGTTTAGAATATCTGTCTCAGAAAAGACCTCTGGGCCCAGATTTTTTGGTTCTGTTGTTTCCCTTGTGGAGCAACAGGCCTTTTGCTTAGGTGCTGATTAGGGAACCCTAGGTCTTACATGTGCTAGGCAAGTGATCTACCATAGAGTGCTCTTGTTTGTTTGGACGTTTGGTTTGGCTTGTTTTTTTGAGACAGGGTTTCTCTGTGTAGCCTTGGCTGTCCTGTAACTCCCTCTATAGACCAGAGTAGTCTCTAACTCAAGAGATATGCCTGCTTCTGCCTCCCCACTGCTGGGATTTCAGGTGTGCAACAACACTAACCATCTTGTTTATTACTTTTAAGCACTTTAAATTTCATCTGATTCTATTTCCTTTTTGTTTGTTTCTTTGCTCCTTGAGGCAGGGCCTCACATTGTCTGGATGGGCCTCAAAATTAGTAGTAGAGGCTGGCCTTAAACTCAATCTTCCTGCCTCCACATCCCAAGTGCTAGGGTGACAGTCATGCACCAGCAGGTCCCAGTATGCCTCTTATGATATCACCTCTACTTTAAAAACATATTATATTAGTAGTGTGATTAAGTGTGTAGGGGCATTGCATAGAAGAATTCAATGTTTTCTTGCTATAGTCCCATTCCTTTGTGTTTTTTTGTACTAGTCAAAAATAGTCTATTATTTAAGATCTATTTTCATATTTTTATTTATGAGTGTTTATGTGTACCATGTGTGTCCTAGTACCCTTGGAATTCAGAAGGATGCATTGGAAGCCTTGAAGCTTGAGTTACAGGTAGCTGTGTGCCACCTGATGTGGGTGCTGGGAACTGAACTCTGATTTCCTAGAAAAGGAACAAGTGCTTTCTTTAACCATGAGCCATCTCTCCAACCACCTATACTCTAGTTTTTCAAAGAAAAAAATTTTTTTTTTAGTTTTTTGAGACAGGGTTTATCTGTGTAGCCTTGACTGTCCTGTACTCACTTTGTAGACCAGGCTGTCCTTGAACTCTCAGAGATCCACCTGCCTCTGCCTCCTGAGTGCTGGGATTACAAGTATGCACTACCATGGCAGAGCTAAGAAAATTTTATTTATTCATATATGTGCTTATTTATTTATTGTGTATGTGGCAAGTCAATTTTACCCATTGAGCTATCTTGCAAGCCCATATATTGCACCTTTAAAAGCTTATTTTACATTTAGGTCATGTGCTAAATATGAGTAAAACATTAAAACACCTTGAGTAAATGCAAATGCAACATTGATTCAGGACCTTCTTGGTTGTCATGCCATCACTGTCAGCCGGGTTATCTCAAGTCTTACATATGATTTGCATTTGCTACATGTCCATTTTCTCATGCACAATTTGGAGAGTCCAATCTAGATCAGTGGTTCTCAATCTGTGGGTTGTGACCCCTTTGGGGATGTTGAGTGACCATTTCACAAGGGTCGCATTTCAGATATCCTGCCTAACAGATACTTACATTACAGTTTATAACAGCAGAAAAATTACAGTTATGAAGTTAAAGTGGAATTAATTTTATGGCTCAGGATCACTGTAACATGAAGGGCTGCAGTTGTAGCAGCATTAGGAAGATTCAGAACTATTGCCCTAGAATGTCTTTCAGTCCTGCCCTGTGTCGTTTTTCCACTGCAGTAACCCTTAATTTTAGACTCTAGGCGTTTCTAGCACAATGCTGCCATCTTGTGGATTAGGCTATTTAAAGTTGTTTTCTTTTCCATTCCTTTCTTTTCATTTTTTCCTTTTTCTTTATTTGCTTTTCTGTTGTTGATTATTAATATTTATTATTAATTTTTCTTTTAGCTAAACAGTAGTTATTCCTAAACCAGCTGTATACCCAAATTACCACACAGAGACTAGGATGTACTTAGTAACCTAGAGCACAATGCTGGGCAATAGTTACTACATCCTAAACCTCCAAGCCCACATAGATTTCCCACATTATACTTGCTTTTAGTCATATGTTATGTTCAGTTCATCTCTCCTGGTGGTTCCAAGTCCTCTCTTCCAGATCTCTCTTCCCTGACTCCTCCCTCTCGCTTCTTTCTCCTCCCTTCCAGACCAGGATGTCTCACCCTATTCTCTCCATTGCTCAGGATTGGCTGGTTGTTTTATCGACAATAGCAGAGAACATATGGTGACATGTTTACTCAAACTTGAGACAGGTGATGCTTAGAATAAACATCACAATGCAATATGCGGTTTGAAACCAGATAGTGGGGTAGAGAAATCAGCATTTGAATGAACAAGGGTAAATTATATACATTCAACAAGATCATTATACCAACAATTTTCCTTTCCTCTTCTCTATCATCACTGAACATCAAACATTAATTTCTTAAAAGGAAATTATACATGGGAAGACAAAAGAAAAAGGAGAAGATAGTTCCTAACTGGGAGATACATAGGCTTTTTGAAGCTCTGTTCTTAAACTTTTCTTAGTACTCCCTTTCGGCAGAGAAACGTCTATACCTCTCTCTCTCTGTCTCTCTCTCCCTCTCTCTGTATTATGCTATACATACCATACATATAATAGGTACACAGATCAAACATTTGCCTTTTAAAGATCACAAAGAAATTTGCTCTAAAACTTTTTATTTTAATTATTTAATTTTTTAGACAGGGTCTTTTTATGTAATCCTGGCTGTTTTAGAACTCACTCTGTAGACCAAGATGGCATAAAACATACAAATATCAGCCTGCCTCTGCCTCCCAAGTGCTGGGATTAAAAACATGTGTGTCACTATGTCCAGTGTTGTTTTTTTTTTCATTCCCTAAAGCAGAGTTTAGAATATTCTATATTCCCAGATGAAATTTTATCACACTTCCTGTAGCACAACATTCCCCCCCCCCTTAACAGTTCTTCCTCCTGAATAGACTCTTGGAGAAGAGACGCTGAGGCCAAACATTTCAAAGACCCATGTCCTAGCACATTGCCTGGTGCAGAAGAAAAGACTCTGAGGCTCCACGCCACATTTGAATATTTATTTTAATTATCTATCTATCTATCTATCTATCTATCTATCTATCTATCTATCTATCTATCTATCTATCTATCTATCTATCTATCT